AGGTGCAGAACTAATCTCTATCCTAACACATCTACAATAAAAATGTAAGCGATGAATTTCGTAGTAAACGATGATTTGATCTAGGCTAATTTAGAACTGCAGTCAATCCTGTACTTGAATATGTAAATTGATAATTCATACAATGAAATCTCTAGACAAACGAATCACCAAAATGGTGAAACGAAATTCTGTAAATTCCATTTAGCGAATAGCATATACAAATATTTAAATTTAGAATCACATAAATAGGCAGTTAATGGAGTTTTTAGATTCATTTCGAGTCCGTTAAAAAACCTACTTATACTACTTCTATCTCTATCTCTCTCTCTATATACATATATATATATCAGTGTTCTTTAAGTACTCAAAGAAATGAACACAATTTGAAGTTAGAATCGATTATGTTTAAGGTGTATACTACCGAGATATACATATCAAAAGAAAGCCAGATTAGTAAGCATGAAACGATTGACTTTTTTACTATACATAGATTTATATTGAAAACTGAGCCTGAAGACTAGTGCAAAGATTGAAAAGTCTATATATGGCAGGAAAAACAAATCGAGAGATCAAGAGAAGTAGGAGACAAGAGAACTTCTATTTAGATCTATATCTGATATAATTAATTGGTCGCAGGGGAAAGTAGTCTCCAGTTGCTTTAATACATGCGCCGACTTAGAACGTTTGTTAAATTGACTTTGCCATCGCAAAATAAACAAGACATGTAGAATATATGTAGATGCTTTATCAAATTTTTATACGTAAAGATACCAAATCTAAAATTATATATTTTTAACTACCTACACCAACTTATAACTATTTTTTATCGGTGTGGATTTATAATATTACTAAGGTACTTTAGGTACTTTGATCAAGTAAGAAAGATGAATAAAAACCAAATTAAGTAAAACAATAGATAAGCAACCTACACAATGTAGATGCCATGAATCCGTGATGAGCTCACATTTCCATGTGACGGATATCGTCAGACAAAAACCATCACTTAAGAAAATTCACCAAAAACTTTAAGTCAAGAAAGATGGCCACTTAAAATTCTATTAACTTCTTATAACAAAATTTGCGATCTCAGGATCTGGTTGGATATATGAAAAAAAGTAGGAAGTGGTCACAGGTATTTTCTTAATTAACCAAACTTCCGAGGAGCCTGCAATGTGAATGCTTGCAAAAATGTGTGGCTGTATTTCTTTGTCTAAATCAATACTCTTAGTCAGTTGACAATTTATGGCAAAGACAAGACCTCAAGTTAGTGAAATTTTTCTCTTCTTGCTCCATCTCATTCTCCCACTCTCTAAATATTTTTAGTAGCCAGAGGTAGTTTTCACTAAGCCTCCTTCACTTGTTCCTCCAATTCAGGATGTTGCCGTTTTCATTTGTTTATGAGAGGAGGATCGTCTCTGATCTGCAACATGAGTCGAGTGAAGAAGCCCCTTCTTATTATTCAATTATTAGCCCTGCCCCACTAGAATTGGCCGGTTTCAATTCCTATTTTATTATTTACACTCGTTATTCACATTCATAATATCAGCTATTCTATTATTTTCTTTAAATCCAATTGCCTTTTTATTAGATATAAATTTCTATACTTCACAAAAGAAGGTTTTAGAAAACGTAGTCTAAGCAATTGAAATATTAAATATTGAGTTAGTTTTGAGTTATAGACCCGAATACCATTAAAGATTGTTTATATTTGGATCACCGTTTATATACGGATCGAAAACAAGTGATAAAATTGCATCTTTAATTTACTTAAGGCTACACTAAGTTTACTAGACATATAGACCTTTAAATATTTAAATGCGATACCGATTTTTGAAATGTATTCAAATACTAATCTCTATTGAGGGTATAAATTATATGTTGCATTGTGGAGATGGTGAGCATATCCATGGGGGATTACGAAGATTTGGTTATTAATTAATGGTATCAGGCATCACTAAAAACTTTAAATCTATAATGACTTGCATTTTCGACCTTATATTATCAGCACACACAGAGGAATTCTCCTTGCGAAGTAAGTTTAGTAAAAATGCAAACACGGCTTTCAAGATAAAGCAAAACTTTCTCGGCTTACATCTATAATTGGGAATTTAGAAGGAATAAACAACTGCATATATACTAACGAACTCGACAAGTAGCCATTGTAGCTTACTATGTACTATAAGGGGAAATGCAAAGAGTTACGCGGTTTCTATATTTGTCATTCAAGTGAAGATCAAAAGGATTATAAAAACCTGCTCAACATAAAATGGAAATACATAGGCAGCAAATAAATATATAAAAAGTAATGGCAACCAACCGTGATGGCTTCTGGTTTCTAAACCCAGCTCCAAAGGAAGCACTACAATAGCCGGGAGCAGAGGATGCCGAAGTCAGGGCTGCGTCACCACCGAGAGCATTATATCGTAACTAAGGGCAAGAAATAAAAACGGAATAGATATATGAACTATAAACAATAAAAAATGTCATTAGTGAAAATTTCGAACATTGGTAAGTTAATAAGAGATTTAGAAAAATTTAGCTCCTTATAACGATATGCTGAAACAGGAGCAAAAGGATAGCAATATATTCTAATAAATAAAAAAGACATCAAGTTAACATAGGCCCAAAAACAACGGTTCTGATATCGGATAATGCATACAATTATTGAAAAATGCAATTGTTTGGCTTCACTTTTGTTATGAAGAACCAAAAATATGGGAAGTTTAAAAAGGCTAAATAGTAATTTCTTTAAATTATTAAACCAAAAAGAAATAGGAAACAGTCTACATGTTTGAAGTAGTGGTCAAAAGAGAGATCCCATCTCAGAACAAATCGAGTAATGATGATCATGAAGAATGAATACGATATTATAATGAATGAATAGCTTCCCTAAAATCAGTAGTTACCAATGCAACATATAACAAGCTGATAGACTAAGACTAAGTAGATTAGAGCATATAAAATAAAGGAGAAAACAAATCAAAATTCAGTTAAAACCTCAATTTTCTAACTTTTACTTGAATCATAAGCTTATTCGTACTCCTTTAGTATCAAGTCTGTATCATGTCAGTCCATGAGAACTAACTTGATACTGTCATTAGTACTTGCCTGATACAGATATATTGAAATATCAATTTCAAAGTAAGACCTTGTAAAACAAGCAAAGCATTGCGAATACAAAGTCATGTGTGAGTAGAATAATAGCAATAATTATTATTTATTATTAAGTCTA